CAGAGCTGGGAATCTGATGGGGGAGTTTGGGCCTGTTCTTTTTATGGTCTCTGGAATTTCCTCCTTATCTCCTGCCCTGTCCATGAGCTCTTCACTATTATTGATTATTGATTGGTGGCCCCTCTGTCCATGTGTCTGTTTAGTTTTTCTATTGGATCTTTGGAAGTGTCTGTCTGATTGGGTTCCCTGCTTGAATTCAGGAGCGCTTTCATCAAGCGGGAAGTTGACCTGTCCCCGTCCTCCTCCCTTACCATCTTGCCGGGCTGCCTATGGCCCTTCCACAACTCCCTCAGTGACCATGCAGGTGCAGTTACTTGACATAGCTCAGCTTATTTGCTCTCTCTCCTCTCATTTTTGGCACAAATTTCACCTGAGACCTTCCCCCAGAGGTAAGCCAAAGTCTCCACGTGTGGCCCTACATCTAAATACCCTTGACGTCAGTGCACAAGAAGTCTCCTTATTGTAGTGCCAGCAGCATGTAGGGTTGCCCCCTCTGGAGTGGCTGCAGGAGTGTAATGGTAACTACTCCAAGCCTGGATGCAAAGTCAACAGAGAACACCCTCCTGACTCTTAGTGCCTGGGAAAGGGAGAATTCTCCTCCCTTTCTAATCCGCTCATCTTCAGGGAACTTGATTAGCTCCCTTTTGGATTGTAAACAAGGTCCCCTAGGATGTAACTACTTTCCTTTGAAGTATAAATGCCCTGTGCAGGCTCTGGTTTAAGGCCAGAGATTTATGGTAGGCCTAGTTGGAGGAGCCAGTTTTTCCCCTCTTCTTCTGTAAACAAGTTTTCTGCTTTGAAACTCCAAGCACAAGACTAGAAAATTTATGACACCAGATAGCCTATAAATGTAGTGAAAAACTGGAAATGGGCGCTCCGAATTTGGAGTCTGATCTCCTCTGAACCCACCGGTGGAAAACAAAGTTTGAGTTCTCTCTAATGGAAGAAATGGAATATAGACACAGACTCAAAAATCCAAAAAGTTGACACCAGGGAAAAATTTCAACCAGCAGCCAAAATGAGCATGCATATTAGTGAAATTAGCTATTATATAAATAAAATTAAACGCTTAACTTGCATTATATGTAAAGTAAATTCCAATGACCTACCTAGAAAAATAAACCTGCAAAATAAAAGCAGGCAAAGAAGGAATACAAACTGTGAAAAAAAGGAATTGGAAAATAATAATCATTTAACATTTCTTCACAAAAGAACATCACAAATGAAGTAAAATAAAAGCCATATATTAGCAAGTTTATATAATTAAGGAAAGTTTTGGTAACCTAAAAAAAATAAAACAAACAAAAAAAATCCAATAACTTCTGCAAATCAGAAAGAAAATGCAAATCATTAGAAAAATAATTTATATAAAATGGCAATTTTTAATTAAGGACAAATGAACATTCAACTAAGAAATAAAAACATGTTCAACCTCATTAGAAATCTCAAAAAAAAAGGAAAGAAAAATAAGAACAAGATTTATTATTAAAATATCTGTTAACAGAAACTGAGACTAGCAAGATTTGAGGAAGAGGGAAAGCAGGCGGGTTGTTGCGGTGGAATGTACATTTAACTTGCAAGAAAGGCTGAGCAGTGGGGAAAACTGGGGCTCAGCATT